TATTTTGATTTGGGTGAAGATTTACAGAGTAAATTCACTTTTCATACAGCAGTTCACATATACTTTGTCTCATGTCATTGACCAAAATTTACAATGCAACAGCTCCCCTCCCACTTCCTCCCCATAGTTACCTCTTCCCAGTGTCCATCCCTCCATACTCTTCTGCGCCCTGAGCTGTCTCCCTGTCCATAAGCAGCCCTTCCTTCTCCCATGATTGTTCTTTCCAGGGTGTGTGTCTACTTGAAGTAAATGTTTAACTCACTTGCCTGTACTTTGTTTGGCTGGAAACCACAGGTGTGGGTTCAATTCCAGACCTGAAGGGCAGCTAGGGGCCATAGTCTCAGTGGTTTCACCAGGCTCTATTGGACCAGCAAACCTGGTCCCCACATTCTTTTTTTTATTTTTTGCCTCCAAATGATTTTGAGTTTTGTTCCACACTGTTCTCCCTCTCTATGTAGGATCTCGTACATTCCTTCCAAGTGGATGACAGTGGTAGCCGGGCACCATCTAGTTCTTCTGGTCTCATAGTTGTATAGGTTGCAGATCAGATGGTGTACCAGTCGCTAGGACTGATTGTTTCCATTCATTTGGTTTTCTTCTTTCTTCTTGACGAGGAGACACCCATTGTTGCATCTAGATGGCAGCTTGCTAGCTTTTAAGATCCCAGTTGCTACTCGCCAAAGTAGGAGGTGGAACAATGTTTTGTATAGTATGTTATGCCAATTGAGCTTGATGTCCCCTGCGACTATGGTCCCAAGCCCGCAGGATCAACTACTCGGTCACTCTGGGTAGCTGGCTGTGACCAAGCAATGACCATAACCTTGCCCCTTGTCAGCTCTACTATACACATGGGAATTCTGATCACTCACATAAACTTATAGGACCATTGTCTGCCAACCCTATATATGATCTTGGATACACTCCCCATTTAGACATACCTAATTGTTTAGCCTGTCCACCTATCTATCCATCCATATACCCCTGTTTGCCTTCACTGACAACTCAGTACTGTATATGCAAAAGGGTTCATATTTGTTGTCTGTACTGCCCATATACCTCTCTATGTCTTTCTCATCCTCAATGGTGCCATATTGGTCACTCCTATTTGGTACATTGCCCTTCTCTTCACCCAAATCAATATTTATCACTATCTATCTAACAGTGTTCCCTCCCCTCCCCTCCCACCCCTGGTAACCAACAAAGAAAATTTCCTCCAATAGATAAACCTTTCCTTAAGTTTTACAATAACAGACTTATACAATATTTGTCTTTTTGTGACTGACTTATTTTACTCAGCATAATGTCCTCCAAGTTCATCCACGTTATGCGGTGTTTTGCAGATTCTACATTATTCTTTAGTGTTGCATAGTATTCCATTGTGTGTATGTACCATAGTTTGGTTATCCATTCCTCAGTTGATGGACATCTAGGTTGTTTCCATGTTTTGGCTATTGTAAATAGTGCTGCAATGAACATCGGCGTGCATATATCTGTTCTTGTCATGGCTCTCACTTCTCCAGGGTATATACCTAGTAATGGGATGGCTGGGTCAAATGGTATTTCTAATTTCATGGACATTAATTTTAAAATGAACTTTTATTGTTGCTATTTATATTCTAAGGAGCTCTGGTGGCGTAGTGCCTAAGGCATTTGACTGCTAACCAGAAGGCTGGCGGTTCAAACCCACCAGCCACTCCTCAGAAGGAAGGTTGGGCAATCTACTTCCACAGCAATACCACCTTGGAAACCCAAGGAGGGGTCGCTACGAGTCAGATCCGACTTGATGGCAGTGAGCTTGGTTTGTTTTTGGTTTTACATTCCAAGAAGTCTCTGAGTGGTGCAAAGAGTTCATGTGCTTGGCTACTAAACAAAAGGTAGAAAGTTTGAGTCCACCCCTAGGTGCCTCAGGAGAAAGGCCTGACAATCTACTTTCAAAAATTCAGCCATTGAAAGCCTTTTGAAGCACAGTTCACTCTGACACATAAGGGGTTACCATGGGTTGGAAACGATGATCAGCAACTACTTTTTTAAAAAAAGAAACAAAGTTGTAAAGTATGTTCATTGTGGTCTTAATTTGCATTTCACTGATTACAATCAGATTTCATATACAGGTAGTCTCTGATTATGAAGTACTAACCACACTTAGGACTGTCATCTGGTTTGGATTTCTTTGTCCATTTTATCATTAGTGGCTAAGGCACTTAACTGCTAACCGGAAGGCTGATGGTTCAAACCTACCAGCCACTCCTCGGAAGGAAGATGGGGCAATCTACATCCGTAGTGATACTGCCTCGGAAACCCAAGGAGGGGTCGCTATGAGTCGGTTCCGACTTGACGGCACATAACAACAACAACAACAAATTGTACTACATACAAGGTAGCAGTTCACAACTTGGCAGATGTTATCGTTCTCAGATGTTCATGTGCAAATGTTCAATTTTATGATTCAAAACACTGCTGTATAGCAGGCTATGGCCTGGTCTATAAGAAAGTTGGTGTCAGTGTATTTTTTTTTACATATGCTTATTTGTATTAAAATACATCTATAAGTTTATATGTAATGTTCCCAGCCCCCAAAGACAAATAAAGATCAGATTTATAAAGATATCAATAATAAAAAGCAATGATAATGAAAACTAAAAAAAAAAATGAGGTATTTGACTTATGTCAGAACTGACTTCTGGCAGAGTTATTGGAACTGAGCCCTGTTTTAAGTTGGTGACTGCCTGTATGCATCAGACATGTGTCCTCTTCTGTGAACTGCCCATTTAAAAAATTGGATTGTTTGTCTTTCTTGTATTTATTTGTAGAAGCCCTAAGTCTTATTGGTTATATATGTTTAAAATATCTTCTCCTCCTTTTTGGTTTACGTTTTCACTTTCTTTTCTTTTCTCAGTGGTAAGGGTTCCAATTTTCCCACATCCTTGTCAACATTTGTTGTTTTCTGGGTGTTTTTGCTTTGGTTATTTTATTATTTTTTTTATCTTAGCCATCCTAGTGGGAGCAAAATAGTATCATTATGATTTTGACTTGCATCTCTCTGACAGCTAATGATACTGAGCATCTTTTCATGTGTTTGGGTGACCATTTGAATGTCCACTTTGGTGAAATGTCTATTTAAGTCCCTTACTCACTTTATGATTGGGTCATTTATTTGTCTTTTTGTTGTGAAGTTGTCAAAGTTTTCTATATATTTTACTTGTTCTTCCTTTTTTTTTTCCCTTGCCTGTTAACCCTTCTCTGTCTCATCCATCAGACAAAACATTTCTTCTCCTCAGGAGATGAGCAAGTGAGTGAGAAGGGAAGAAAAGGGGTTGAGTGGCTAGAACTAATTCTAGAGGGGTGCTACTCAAAGTGCTACTTGGAGACAGACTGGTGTCTGTCTGGTTCCCAATGAATTTAAGAGTAAGTGTTTAAAAACTTCTGCAGCAATGAGATAAAGTATTTTATATATGTTTTCTTTTATTTTTTTATCAGAAAATTTATGAATTTTTCCTTCACCCAAGTTAATATGTGTCTACCCTTGAGTTAGTGTCTTTTCACTTTATTTATGATGTGTTTAGATGAACAGAGGTTCTGAATTTTAATGTGGGCAAAGATCCTGTACACTAACCCCAAAGGACCATCATGCCAGCTCATTGCTTTAGGCTCTCTGTTGCTTGCAAAATAAAGTTTGATTCTTGAGCTAAGCATCCAAGAGCAATCTCAAACTTACCCCAATTTAGTTTTCCAATCATGACTTCCCTGCCTACACTCCCTATTCCAGCTCATGGTCAACCCCCTGACCCCCTCAAATACTTCTCATCCATTTGCCTTTGTGTTTATACAGTCCCCTCTTACCTGCCTCTACCAAGTTCATGCTCCATGACAAAGCCCCTCTCCTCCATAAAGCTTCCCCTGACCACTCTTGTCCACAGTGATCTCTCTTGCCTCTGACCCCTAGTACTTCTCTTCTAGACCACTCACTCACTGTCACACACAATTAGATACTGGGTCTCCCCAGCTCCATTGCAAATGCAAGAACAGGCTTAACATAGTGCCTCATTCTCAGTAGATGTTCAGTTAATACTTATGGGCTGTGCTGACATTGCACTAGGGTTTATTAGTTCATTTCCTTCATTCATTCACTCATTCATTCATCATTTATTGGGCTGCTGTAGTGTGCCAAGTAGTGGGAATTAGACAGTGAACAAGCTAGAAATAGCCCTGCCCTCATAGAGCTTCTGTTCATGTCAGGGAGATGGGTGGACTTTCAGTCAAAATATGACAAAAAGTGGTAAGGGTCGTTAAAAAAAACAAGAGCCTTCATTCAAGGTTCTGCATATTCTGTTTGCTCTGTTTGCAGAACTCTCTACATAATTTGCCAAGCCTAGTGCAAAATAAAAATGTAGGGCCCTTATTAAAAAACTATTTAGGAATTTCAAGATGGCAATAGTAGAGCATTCAATTGAGCTCAGGCCCTTCTAAGCACATGCCCATGAAGCCAGTTCTCTCTGTATGGCACTCAGCCCATCTTGGGTGCTTAATGAGATAGAAAATAATCAGAGGACTGTCTCCATTTAGGAACATTGGTGGCTCAGTTTAAAGTGCTTAGCTGCAAACCAAAAGGTCAACAGTTCAAACTCACCAAATGCTCCATGGGAGAAAGATGAGGCAGTCTGCTTCCATAAAGCTATACAGCCTTGGGAACCCTGTGGAGCAGTTCTACTCTGCCCTAAAGGATTGCTGTGAGTTGGAATCAACTCGATGACAGTGGGTTTTGTTTTTATCTCCATTTGATTTGAAATCCAGATCAGTACAGTTGCAGGGGTTGGACCTGATCTCAGGGCTGGTTTGTTAATGGCTGAGCTGACGTTGGAAGGGCTCACTTTGTGTTCCACAGCGATAAGGATGTCTTGTGAAGACAGATCCTCCTTGAACACAGAAAACACCATGGATTATGTGTCGGGCATCTATGGACTACAACATAACACTCTTTGTTGATGTTTCCTGCCTTTCAGACTGCTTGTCTTATTCCGCTTTGCACGTGTTATCCAGGAGATGCTATGGAAAGCAGAGATGCAAAATCATTGTCAACAATCACCATTTTGGAAGCCCCTGTCTGCCAGGAGTCAAAAAATACCTCACCGTTACCTATGCATGTGGTAAGAGCATACCCCCCACCAGTTGCTTCAAGGCCCCTTCTACAGGAGGTAGTAATCATGGGGCAGGGGAGTAAAGACCAACAAGTCCACAGAGTTCTCAAGCAGCAGGTCAAGCAACTCTACCCCTGAAACTATTTTGTCATCACAGATATTCAAGAGCCCCTTTTTTTTTTCTATCCTTTATCCTTGTTTATGACATTCTCATCAGATAAGCAATTGAATTTTCTTTGGTCAAAATTTGTTTTAAAAGCGCTTTTAGCAATCAGATGGGCAGCAAGTTGGGAGGAGGGAAAAGAACCACCAAGTGGGGGTAAAATTGATGTCACTGAGTACAGTGATCTTAATCTGGGTTCTTAGGAGGCTCTAAAATTTATTGGTATGTCATGTGAGTTCACCAAAGCATTGTTTGGCTCCTATTTAACCTCCCAGTACTGCTTTTAGGCCCCAAATGACTAACTCTTTATGCTGCCAACAGCTAGTTTATCTACATACCCACAGTGTTGAGTCAACAAATCAAATACTTACCCTAAAACAATTAAAAATGTTATGTGAAAGTATTACTATGTATTCTAGTGTCTTTACATGAATACCTGGTTCATTTAGATCCCACTTTCATGAAGCTACTTCAAAACAAATCGGCAGTTAATTATTTTCTGAGGGTAATGTGGAGTTCCAGTTTATAATCTAGATATATTGACTGTTTTTAGAAATGAACACAGAAACAAAGGGAAAGCAAAGGACACCATAAATAAAGAACACTATCTATGCTCTGCCAGATATCCCTTTCCACAGCCCTTGAGTCAATTCTGACTCATAGCGACCTCCACTGGATTTTCAAGGCTGTGATTCTTTATGGAAGTAGAGTGCCTCATCTTCCTCCCGCTGAGCAGCTGGAGGATTTGAACCATCCACCTTCTGGTTAGCAGCCAAATGTTTTACCCACTACGCCACCACAGCTCCTCCACTAGACATCCTTAGCATTTTTTCCCCAATAAATGTTTTATTGAGATATAATTCACATACTGTACAACTCACCTATTAAAGTGTACAGTTCTCTGCTTTTCAGTATATTCAGTTATGTAATCATCATCACAACTGATTTTAGAACATTCTCATCACCCCAAAGAGAAACTCTGTATCTTTTAGCAGTCATCCCCCAATCAACCATCCCTGCCCTCCAACACTGAAGTAGCCACTCTTTCAGTTTCTATGGACTTGGCTATTCTGGACATTTCATATACATATAATCATACAATATGTGGTCTTTCATGACTGACTTGTTTTACTTAGCATATGTTTTCAAAGTTCATCCATGTTATAGCATGTGTCAGTATTTCATTCCTATTTTTTATGGCTGAATGATTTATCTTTGTATCTCTAGCCTTTTATAGCCTGAATTAAATTTTTGTCCTATGCAGTGTCAATGCTGTAATAAGTACAGTGAACAAACAACATAAAAAACATTCATTCCCACAATAATATCACCCATACTGAAATTACAGGAAGGATGAGAGCTTTAGTTTGTTTTTTTGGCTCTTTCAGTCTTTATTCTTGTAACTGCCTACACAGCTCTGAGTAGCATTGAGTCCATTACAGCTAAGGTTCCCCTAGAAGGCAATACTGATTGCTTTAAGTTCTTTCAGACATCTCCAGTTGATTGTTGAATGAGGAAGCACAGCTTTAGCTTGAGAATGAGGTGAATTTTCTAGTGTGCTTTCAAGGCTGAGATGAGAGCAAGTACAAGAGCTATGGCTTTTCTTAGTTAATCCTAAGGGGGTGAGTGGCCCTGGGATCACAAGTCTGGGTTTGAGCTTCTCTTCCCTCATTCACCAATTCAGCACCCTGAGGGCATCTTCTATGTGTCAGAGGCTATGACAGGTGCTAAGGATTCACCAGTGAACAAAAAGACATGATCTTTGTCTTCATGAACTAATAGTAGGTGAGAGAGGTAGACATTAAACAAATAACTGGGCAAATCTATTGTTACCAATTGCAATAAGTGCTATTACACAAAAAGGCAGATACTACAGAGAGGATAACAGTAGAGGAGGCCTGAAGTTAGCTTGGGGGGCAGTGGTTTGAGAAATCTTCTAAAGAGAACCTTCCTCTGAGGTGAACTTTCATCTGTGCACTCTGAGGGATGGACGGGTGTGAGCCAGGCAGAGAGTGGGCGGAGGGGCAGCCAGCCTATACAGAGATATTGAGTAGGAGAGAGGTGTGGGGTTGGCAAGGTGGAGGTGAGGTGGCCCCAGAGAGAGGTCAGGGCCAGATCCTGCAGCGTCTTAGGAGAGGGTGCCAGTGGAACGCTTCAAGGAGAGATCAGATTTGATTCTTTCAGTGATCACTCCATCTGCAGGTTGGAGAATGGATTGGAGCAAGAGTAGAACCAAAAAGATTAGTTAGAAGCCAACAAGTTTTTCTTACTATTTTTTTTAAGTTGAAAAGAAGGTACCAAATAATGATGATTTATACTAGAACAGTGCTAAAAGAAGTGATAAAAATGGGTGAGTTTGGGCCGCTTTGACAACTCTCAGCCTCAGAAATCTCACCTATGAAATATAACCTTCATAACAACCCTAAATAGGTGGCTCTTAGCCTGATTATACAGATGGGGGAACTGAGGCACAGAAGGTTAAGCCATATGCCCAAAGCCACATGTCTAGTAAAGGCTGGAGCTAGGATTTGAATCTGCAGCTTAGCACTACTGTTCAAGGGCTTGACTACCTCCCCATGATGCTACATGAACCCACCTTAATATGGGTAGGCTTAAGGGTAGCTCCCCCTCAGGTCCTTGTGTAGAGGGATTCTGAGAGTCTCTGCAAGGGTTTAAGGGTGTATGGAACAGCAAGGAGGATGAAATGCTGAGGACAAGGGGAGCATTTTGAAGCTGGAATATGTGATGGATTTCACAGCCACACAGACCTTGGGTCCCAGTGGGGGAAGCTATGAGCAGCAGGGTCAGGGTCAGGCCTGGCATAGTGTCTGGTCAATAACATTTGGAAGAAGAAATGAAGAAAGAAAGGAGAAGGAAGAAGAAGAAAAAACTGGGTTTCCAGGGTGTTATGGATTGAATTTTCTCTCCCTAATATGTGCTGTCAATCCTAACCTCTGTGCCTGGAGTTCTAATCCCATTTGGGAAGGGGTTGTCTTTGCTTTGTTAATGAAGCAGGATTAGTGTGGAGTATATTTTGAAATAATCTTGTTGGAAGTATAAGAGATTAAACAAGCAAGCAGAGCAGAGATGGAGGAAGACACATGCCAAGCCATATGAAGATCACCAAGGAGCCAAGGAATAAGGACCTTCCTCCAGAGCCAACAGAGAGAGACAAGCCAGCACCCTGAATTTGAATTTCTGGCCTCCTAAACTTTGAGAAAATAAATTTGTGTGTGTTAAAGCCCCCTCCCCACAAAAAAAAGAGTGCGATTGAGAATGATTTGGAAAGTAGAAACATAGAGATACTGGAGAGACATGGTGTATTGAAAGGACTGAGGTCTTGTTGAAGGTGAGAAGACAGGATTGACCTGTGATAGGAGAGATGTTTCTCTTGTTATAACAAGAAGGAAGAGGACTATGAGAATGGACAAAGGTAGGTTTTGGAGTGCCTGTCGTATGGCCTCTGCTTTCTTATAAAAAGTGTATGAGATGAGGTCATCAACTGTAGGGAGAAAGGAGAGGGGCTTGAGGAGATGACAGAAGGTATAAATAAAGTCAGTGCTGTAGAGGACAAGAGCACGGGCTGAACTTGAGAAACACAGTCACATTGCAGGGTGGAATTTAGAAATAGGGTTTTTCATCATTGTATTAATTAGATCAAACCCCACTAGGTGGAGTGTAAATCGAATCACTTCTGAGTTACAAAATGTGTAGATTAGACATAGACACACACACACACACACACACACACTATGGAGGAGGAGGGGAGGAAAGTTGTCAAGTGGATGAGCTATAAGCCAAAGAACTAAAGAACGACCCTGGGCTACTGAACAAGAAGGAATTGGCACGGCCAGGACCCTGATTTAGACTTTAACCTACAGTAATGTGAGAAACAAAATTCTGATCTTTAAAACCACTCACTTGTGGTAATTCTGTAACAGCAGTACTAGGCAACTAAGACATGAGACTTAAGTCATATGCATGAAGTATAATCTTGAGTGCCTGGTTAGTCTACAGCGTTCATCCGAGAGTGCCCCTCTTTTCTGAGCCCCTCTTCTGTAAAATCCTGCTTCACCCTTGAACATTTGCATTCACAGAGAGCCGAGGGCCTTCTTGGGCCGTAGTTTGAGAATAAGTCAAGAGATAAACATGAGAAAAAAGTGCCACTCTTGGCAGGGAGAGAGGATGCTCTCTGGACTTACGACTGCCAACAAATCAAGGGCATCCTTCTCTGGGGCCCAGAAATGATGGAGAGGCTATTTAATTAGAAAGCATTTTGTGGCCACACAGCTAAGCTCCCGGGGGTGCTGCCATGGCCCCGGGATCAGCTGTGTGCTCGTGGTCAGCCAAGGGGCATTCCTCAGAGCACTGGTGAACTTCAGCTGCCTCTGGCTGATTCACCATGCCTCCCTGGAAAGTGACTTCATTACTGTTGGGCATGAAGGTGCCAGGGCCTCTTGCATGTGGAAAATTAACAATTCAGGAATGTTCTCTGGCTGTTGATCCTGGGACATCCCCAGAGGAATTTTGTTACGCACTTCAAGAAAGGAAATGAGTTCTTGCTGCTGAAAATGTCTTTCCAGCTCTTTCTTAGAAATCAGTTGGTCCTGAAAGTGCAGTTGAACTAACACAGTTTGTATTGGCTTCCCTTTATTTTCTGTTGCCATGTCTCCCACATATCTACTAAGCTGGAATACAAACAAAAATAAGCATCCTTCTGCAGAAAAAATACTGGATTTCCCCTCTCTTCTCCCAACCTACTGCAATTTTGTTCAGAATTCTCACCTGGCCCTCCTTTTAGCTGGTCCTCTCATCTGCCATCTGCTCTGCCTGGGGGATCCTGAGATCAGGATGCTTTATTCTTAGAGTCAGTTCGGCAGAATTTAACGTTTTCTAAAAGACCCTATCATGATGTGTTCCAGTTCTCATCTTTCTGTTGTTGTTTTGGTTATGTGCCATCAAGTTGGACCCGACTCGTAGCGACCCCTCCTTGGGTTTCCAAAGCAGTATCACTATGGAAGTAGATTACCCCATCTTCCTTCCGAGGAGTGGCTGGTGGGTTGAACCGCGAGCCTTCTGGTTAGCAGTCAAGTACCTTAGCCACTATGCTACTTTTAAAATCATATTTAGAAAATCAATCTAGCATGGGATCTTTAGAATTTTCTTTGGGCCTATTATGGATGCAAAGAGCTCTGGGTACAAAGCAGAGAAGGAGCTGGGGAGTGCTGTATGGTGAGTTTTGAGTTAGTTGTAGTCATCTTGATTTACTGTCTCTCAGGGAAGTTCATGCTTGGTGTTAACAGTTTTACTGAGGTGTTACATACTTTAAAATCCAGCCATTTACCACTGTCATCCACTTGGAAGGGATGTAGGAGATCCTGGATAGAGAGGGAGAGCAATGTGGAACAAAACTCAAAATCATTTGGAGGAAAAAAAAAAAAAAGGTGGGGACCAGGTTTGCTGGTCCAATAGAGCCTGGTGGAACCACTGAGACTATGGCCCCGAGCTGCCCTTCAGGTCTGGAATTGAACCCACACCTGTGGTTTCCAGCCAAACAAAGTACAGGCATGTGAATTAAACATTTACCTCAAGTAGACACATGCCCTGGAGAGAACAATCATGGGAGAAAGAAGGGCTGCTTATGCACAGGGAGACAGCTCAGGGCGCAGGAGAGTATGGAGGGATGGTCACTGGGAAGAGGTGACTATGGGGAGGAAGTGGGAGGGGAGCTGTTGATTTTAAACTGTGGTCAAGACATGAGACAAAGTATATGTGAACTGCTGTATGGAAAGTGAATTTGCTCTGTAAATCTTCACCCAAATCACAATAAATAAAATAAAATAAAATTCAGCCATTTTAAGTGAATGCAATTAAATGATTTTTAGTACACTTATAGAATTGTGCAATCGTCTCCATCCTCCAATATTAAAACATTTCCATGACCCCAAAAAAGTCCCCCATGCCCATTTGCAGTCACTGTTTTCCCACTGCCAGCCCCTGGTAACCAATAATATACTTTCTGTCTCTATAGAGTTACTTTTTTCTGGACATTTCATATAAATGGAATGAAACAGTAACTTTTGTGTCTTGCGTCTTTCACTGAGCATAATGTTTTTGAGGTCCATCTATGTGGTAGAATGTATCAGTGGTTTGTTACATTTTATTGCTAAATAGTGTTCCATTGGATGGATATGCCGCAGTTTGCTTAGCTAATTCTCCATGTTGTTATGTTTTTTAAAAACTCCAAAATGGGCCTAAAATTTCACCTTTCTGGAACACTTGATGATCATACATGTATCATTTGTGTGTGTGTGTGTGTGTGTATGTTTTAGTGTATCTGACAGGCAGAGATAAGTGATTCATGTACTGACTTGTGAAAAGTGATCTTTAAAATCATCTGCACTGCATTTAAATATATATGTGGGAGCTCTGGTGGCATAGTGCCTAAGGCATTTGACTGCTAACCAGAAAGCTGGTGGTTCAAACCCACCAGCCACCTCAGAAAGAAGATTGGGCAAGCTACTTCCGTAGTGATATTGCCTGGGAAACCCAAGGAGGGGTCGCTTTGAGTCAGATCTGACTCGATGGCAGTGCATTGCATTTGTTGGATTATGTGTATGTATGTATGTATGTATGTGTGTGTGTATATCTATCTATCTATATATATGCTGTATATTTCTTTTAAACATATAAACTATTTAAAATATTTTCTTTTTGGTTTTCAGTTCCCAAGAACATCCTCACAGCAATTGATCCAGCTGTTGCTGAACTAGAACCTTCTTTGAAGAAGAAAGATGGTGAATATGGTAATTTTTATGGCTTACTCCCAGCATTTCTCTTTAAGTAAAGGTAAACAGTCCCAATGTGACCATAGTTGGGCACACCTTAGTTAGAATGCAAGGGAATGATAGGAACTGTGTTGGAGCCAGTGCTTCTGGATAATGAGACTCCTAGGGAATGGTTGCAAATTGTGATCAAGATCTTGTTTTGTTTTGTTTTAAATCACAAGTGAAAGAAACCTCCTTCTATCCTCTCTCATTTCCTAAAAGAAAACTCACTTTTAAAGAGAGAGATGTGCTCAGAAGTAGATTTGGGATTAGTGGACTATACAGTAAGCTTGCTGGCAAAGATGTCCCCACCAAGAGTCTGGGTCGGCTGGCCCAGGCTGGACCTGCATGCCTGCATACATGGGCCACCTTCTTCCTACCTTTTTGCTTGACTTTCCTTAAAAGGGGTGAAAACATTTTAATTTTTTTATATATCAAATCTAGAATGAAATTCATACCCATGGGGTTCCTGATAGAAACTGCAGAGACCCAGTAGAGTATTGAGCTTTGGGTAGTAAAAGTTTCATTTTGTGTTCCTTTTATTATATTTATTATGTCTTTCCCCCTAAGTATAAAAGTAAATTATGTTTGATATGGAAAATGCCAGAAAGTGCAAAGAAATCTAAATCACCCCAGTCCCATAGTTTTGAGAAAACTATTGGCGATGTTCTTGTATGTTCTTCTAGTCTACCGCCCAAACTTTCCACCAGGGTCTGCATCTCTTTGTCCCACCCCTCTTTCTAAGAGGGCTCCCACCCCCACCCCTAATAATATTCTGGTCCCACTGCAGTAGGGACCTAAGAGCTCTGTGCCATTCTTCTTCAGAGGTGTCCTATCCTATCTGATGCTCCCAAGAGTTGTCAGTGCCCTAAGGCTGCCCTATCATGAGCTCACAAAGACCCATGTAAACAGATGCTCCAGGCATCTGAAACCAGAGCTGCGCTTATTTTGCCATCATCTCCAAAGTAAATTAGTACAAGCTTTCTTCAAAATTCAATGTTTGTTTTATTTGTGGTCAACACTGCAGACACTAGCTCCATGGTTAAAGTGAGAGATGTTATTAAGCCCCCCAGGAACTCTGGTAGCACATTGCCTAAGGCATCTGACTGTTAACCAGAAAGCTGGTGGTTCAAACCCACTGGCCACTCCGCAGAATCAAGACTGGGGAATCTACTTCTGTAAAGATTTACCACCTCGGAAACCCATTCAGCGTTGCTATGAGTTGGAATCTGTTTGATGGCAATGGGTTTATTTGTCTTAGAGGCATGATGAAGCTATGGATGCTATTGCCTTTAGGATGGGAAAATAAATTTATTCTGCAGTGAAGTGGATGAGTGGCAGCTAACAACTGCACCTGAAATTGTAACCAGCCCTTTTTCAGAATATCTAAATCTCTTTTGGGAGCTCTGGTGGTGTAGTGCCTAAGGTATTTGACTGCTAACCAGAAGGCTGGTGGTTCAAACCCAACAGCCACTCCTTAGAAGGAAGACTGGGCAATCTATTTCCGTAGAGGTAGCACCTCGGAAACTCAAGGAGGGGTTACTATGGGTTGAATCGACTGGATGGCAGTGAGTTTGTTTTTTGTTAAATCTCTTTTATCACTTAACACCCTCAGGAACTATATATTGAACAGTCTTCCTGGCTTAGTTTTCCATAATTTGGTCCAAGGCCCACTTGTTTGATGTCTGTGGCTTTCTGTTTATTATGACAGTCTTAGAGGAGCAGGGGTATCTTAGGGCACATATACTGTGAACAACTGTGATTGTCTTGCACTTTCATGTTTTAGGTATCAACTTTGACCCAAGCGAATCAAGGATTCTGAGAAAAGATGGAGTTATTGTTAGCAACTCTCTGGCGGCATTTGCTTACATTAGAGGTAGGTCGATGAATCAAGGTTTTCTAGAATGCTAATGAGTTTACTAAAGTCTAATTAATCAATGCACTATTTAATGACAACATGCAAGCTCAGATAATAAAGATAAATGACTTTAAATTTGACATGGCAACTGAAGTTTAAGAACCACAGAGCTCTGAATTTAGGTACAGCTCCAACCAGGCTACCAATGAGAGAAACACATAAAGAGGTAGTAAGCAGATAAAGTCATACTATTTAGGAGTTGAGAGGCACTGGTTGTTCAGTGGTAGAATTCTTGCTTTCCATGTGGGAAGCTGAGGTTCGATTCCTGGCCATGCGCCTCATGCACAGCTACTGCCCATCCATCAGTGGAGGCATGGCTGTTGCTATGATGCTGGACAGGTTTCACCAGAGCTTCCAGACTAAGGCAGACTAAGAAGAAAGGCCTGGAAATCTACTTCTAACATATCATCCAATGAAAATCCTATGGATCCCAAAAGTCCAATCTGCAACTGATCATAGGAATGGTATAGGACCAGGCAGTGTTTCGTTCCACTGTGCATGGGGTTACTGTGAGTTGGAGTCAAATTGACAATAGCTAACAACATTTAGGAGTTAAACTTCATAGGAATATTCCACTTTGAAAAATGGGATTCCAAGGAATGTGTTAATCAGCTCTGAAATTTGGGAAGGGCATAGGTTTATTCAATTCCACTCCTGACTGGAAGAAAAATAAGCCAGGAGAAGGCTTAGTCAACAAAACAAGTCATGCCCTGTGAAGGCCGTCATTTTCTGAGTCATCAGTGTTACTTGTCCTGGTTGCCAAGGTTTCCCTTATTAATCTCCCCCACAAGGATCAATCAGACTGAGCCCTTCTTAATTAGCAGAGACACCAGGCTCGCAGTCAGAACTAGCCCTGCTGTAAATCCTCTTCAGGGACAGGATGGCACACACAATCTTCTTCACCACCCTCTCGACTTGTCTTTTGGCGGGTTACATCTGCAAGTTTCGGCAATACCTGACTGTTCAGGGAGATGAAAACCTCTGAGACCTTTTGTAAGATGCACATTACTACAGTATAAAACAAAAGTACTATTTGAGGCTTACTCCTCAAAGGAGAATAAATGTGTAAGGAGCTACCTCAATGCAGGAGATAGAGAGGTCAGTCAGTCTTGGGGTATTCTACCATTCCATCATCTCTCTTTGTCCATACTCCTCCTGTTGTTAGAAGTGTGGGTCTGGCTTCCCTCACTGGATCTTCTCTTTCTCAGTCATCCTCTTGTTTCCATCTCCTTCTCTTTAGTCTCACCCTGAAAATTGTCAAAGTTAAGAAAATTGAATTGAATCCAAAAGGAAATTTCCCCAAGTCAGGCCAAAAGTAGCTCTGATACATTAAAGCAGCCAAGTATACGTGGGAACAGATAGACAAGAACCCAGAATTGTCCTGGAGTGTTGAAACACAGAGGTTAGCTTAATGGACACAAGACTGTCCAACAGTGTGTGATGACAGTTTTTCTCTTATGGTCATTTAAATGATCTATGAGATTTTTTCCTAATAATGAGATGCCTTCTTAGAGGTATTTATATTTACCCTTATTTTAGCCACCAGCCCTACTCCTTAAATATATCATGAAATCTAGATCATAGGTCTGAAAAGCTGATAGAAAACTTTTGAAATTAGAGAAATGAGAAGAAAGGGACATGTGTGCATATGAGTATGCATATATGCATGCATGTGTGTGTGTTATATGTGTGTATGTGTTAAGTTGTGCATGTGTTAAGTATGTGTGTGTCAAGTGTGTGCATGTTAAGTGTGTGTGTTGTATCTGCATGTGTTAAGTGTGTGTATTGTGTGCGTGTGTTGAGTATGCATGTATGTTAAGTTTGTATGTGTCAAGTGTGTGCATGTCTTAAGTGTGCGTATGTGTTAAGTATGTATAAGTATTAAGTATATGCATATTTGTGTAAGTATATATGAGTGTTTGGAGGTTCTTAGGAGGGCAGTTTATGAGCTGGTATGGGCCACTGTCTCCTGGCACATTGAATCCCTAAGTGTCTTATTTATACAGTCTTATCTCAGAACTTGACATCTCCTAAAGATGTCTTTAAATTTCTAAAAAACAAAGATGTCACTTTGATGACTAAGATATGTCTGACGTAAGTCATGGTCTTTTCAGTTGCCTCATATGCATGCAAAAGCTAGACAGTGAAAAAGGAAGACAGAAGAATTGATGCATTTGAACTGTGGTATTGGCAAACATGACTGAATATACAGTGGACATCCAGAAGAACAAACAAACCAGTTTTAGAAGAAATACAATCAGAACGCTCCTTAGAAGTGAGGATGGCAAGACTTTGGCTCACTTTGGACACATCATTAGAAAAGACCAAGGGCTAAAAAAGGACATAATGTTTGGGGGTCAGCAAAAATGAATTAAACCCTCAATGAGATGAATTAGCAGTCCACAGTGCCACAACGATGGACTCAGGCATACCCATGATCATGAAGATGCCACAGGAGCAGGTAGTGTTGTATTCTGTTATACATAAGATGGCCATGGTCAGAGCTAACTAACTCAATGGAAACTTACAACAGTAAATTCTATTTTGTGTTTTATTGACATCTGGCTTTGTATATTTACCTCATATATGCCTGCAGGCTGGTCTCCTGAAGCCTGATTTCTTGTCCCTGCCTCTGTGCCTTGGAACTGTGACAAGTGTGTGTTTACAGCTTCTGGCAGACTCTGATGTGGGGTGTATGGAGTAACTGGACTCCATAGGTAGCATAGGCAGAGTAGAAGAGGACAGGTTTGCAGCTTCTCCTCAACTGGGTATGCATCATGCAGAAGACAAAACTTTTAGATGAAAAGAACTCTGACAAACACATATTGAAACAGAAGTATAAAAATACATTCCAAGCCAGAGTTACATGATCCCATGTCACTAAGACAATTGAAAATCAGTGCCACCTTGTCACATAGGTTTGAATTCCCTGAGTTCCCACAGTCTCTGATCTTCAGTTCGGTGACCAAAAAGTTTAAATTATTATCCTTCTTAAGAAAATTATTATCACATCCCTAAGTGCTGTTAGATTTATGCTTTCACCTCCAGCGCCCTCTGGCCCGTGCTGCTTCCTGGATCCTCCCAGCAGGAGCAGTGCCCAGGAAGTAGAAGCCTTGGCTGGTTCTCTCGGTGTCTCATTTGAACATGAATAAGTTTAAGCTAGATCTTGTGTTGGCCACAGACCTGGGGTCTAGGGTGTTGGAATAGGTCTTAAAGTCTACTGACCACCATTCTGAAGCTCCCTAAGGCATACCTGAAAAATACTGATCACATGCAAGTCTTTCACTCTAGCCTGTGATGAATAAAGGCTAAATTTATCAAAATAACAAACATTAAAAAAAAAGGGGGGGGGGAAGCTCTGGTAGCTTAGTGCCTAAGGCACTTGACTGCTAACCAGAAGGCTGGCGGTTCAAACCCACTAGCCACTCCGTGGAAGGAAGATGGGGCAATCTACTTCCGTAGTGATACTGCCTTGGAAACCCAAGGAGGGGTCGCTATGGGTTGGGTCCGACTCGATGGCACATAACAACAACAACAAAAAGTAGAGATTCTGTTTAACCACGAGGAAAATAACACCTTTGGTTTTTTTAGACTGTATGGGAAAAGGGATCACGAAAACCTAAAGTGGTCAAATTGATTCTAGAAAACAGATGAAGTACCCTTAATGTAAGGCCTGGTGCCATGCAGAGAGCCCCAGCCTGAGCTTAAAGTTCCCACAAGTAGGGACTTGCCTACAGCAGGAGGAATTGGGCCAGCTGATCTCTAAGGTTCCATCTGACTACCTCTTGTGATTCTGTGACTTCACTCTAGTCCAGATGAGGACGAGGTCTTGTTCCAATAATGGGCTTGCCAAGGGTTGCACATGTTCTCCATGTTTGATCTCTGGATCACAGCAGAGTTGATGCAGACATAGCCTGGGCAGTGATCACTTGGCCCAAGACTTAACTGAGCCAGGAGGCACCTGGAGTCTACTCAACAAGTGAGAAGCTCTCCTGGCAATGGAATCCAGACTCTCACCTCCCAGGAATGGAGAGGAGACAGAGGAAGAAAGGGGACTAAGCCCACTGCCTTCGATCCAGTATCTCCTCCTTGCATGGATTCAGCAAGTTATCTGTGTAATGGTGTATTGCCTTCTGTGCCCGAGAGAGACTGCATAGGGCACTGGAGATGCAGAAAGAACAAAACAAACTATGCCCTTGCCCTCATGGAGTTAGCATTCTATGAGGAGGAAAAAGGGTGATTATACTCAGAAATTTAATAACAATTATAAATCATGCTGTGAAGTAGACATTCAAGATCCTATGAAACTAAATAGCAGTGGGACCTGGTCTAGACTGGGGAGGGGGTAAGACACTGAGAGTTAGATGAAGAGTGAAGAGGGGATAAAGAGCATTCCAGGCAGAAAGAACAGCAACTACAAAAGCACCAAGCCATCTGGCACCTCTGAAGACCTGGAAGGAAGCCAGTGTGACTGGAGAGTAGAGAGTAAAGGAAAGACTGGAGATGAAGTTGGAAAGAGCAGCAGGGGCTGGGTCATAGTCAGCTTCATAGGTAATGGTCAGGATTTGACTATTACCTTATTAGAGGAAGGGAATTATTTATGGATTTTAAGCTGGGCAGTGATATGATGCACTGTGTGTTTCTAAAAAGATCACAATAAAGAGTCTTCTGGGTGGTGCGGATGGTTCAGCTCTCAACTACTGGCTGAAAGGTTGGGGGTTCAAACCCACCCAGGGGCACCTTGAAAGACAGACCAGGTGATCTGCTTCCAAAAGGTCACAGCCTTAAAAACCATTTGGAACAGTTCTACTGTGTACACATGGGGTCACCATGAGGTGGAATTGACTCAGTGGCATCTAACAACAACATTCTGAGCTTAATAATATGACAAAAGGGAAAAGCTTTATCCCTATTATGAATCTCATAGTCTAGATGCAGAAAGTGACATAAAAAGATAA